GGTGGTGGTGGTGGTGATGTTGTGGTAGGTGGTGGTGATGTGGTAGGTGGTGGTGGTGGTGATGTTGTGGTAGGTGGTGGTGGTGGTGATGTTGTGGTAGGTGGTGGTGGTGATGATGTTGTGGTAGGTGGTGGTGGTGATGATGTTGTGGTAGGTGGTGGTGGTGGTGATGTTGTGGTAGGTGGTGGTGGTGGTGATGTGGTAGGTGGTGGTGGTGGTGGTGATGATGTTGTGGTAGGTGGTGGTGGTGGTGATGTGGTAGGTGGTGGTGGTGGTGATGTTGTGGTAGGTGGTGGTGGTGGTGATGTTGTGGTAGGTGGTGGTGGTGATGTTGTGGTAGGTGTTGGTGATGATGTTGTGGTAGGTGGTGGTGATGTTGTGGTAGGTGGTGGTGGTGGTGATGTTGTGGTAGGTGGTGGTGGTGGTGATGTTGTGGTAGGTGGTGGTGGTGGTGATGTTGTGGTAGGTGGTGGTGGTGGTGTGATGTTGTGGTAGGTGGTGGTGGTGGTGATGATGTGTGGTAGGTGGTGGTGGTGATGATGTGGTGGTAGGTGGTGGTGGTGATGTTGTGGTAGGTGGTGGTGGTGTGGTGATGTTGTGGTGGTGGTGGTGGTGATGTTGTGGTAGGTGGTGGTGATGTTGTGGTAGGTGGTGGTGGTGGTGATGTTGTGGTAGGTGGTGGTGGTGGTGATGATGTTATGGTAGGTGGTGGTGGTGATGTTGTGGTAGGTGGTGGTGGTGATGATGTTGTGGTAGGTGGTGGTGGTGATGTTGTGGTAGGTGGTGGTGGTGGTGATGATGTTATGGTAGGTGGTGGTGGTGATGTTGTGGTAGGTGGTGGTGGTGATGATGTTGTGGTAGGTGGTGGTGGTGATGTTGTGGTAGGTGGTGGTGGTGGTGATGTTGTGGTAGGTGGTGGTGGTGGTGGTGATGTTGTGGTGGTGGTGGTGGTGGTGATGTTGTGGTAGGTGGTGGTGATGGTGATGTTGTGGTAGGTGGTGGTGGTGATGTTGTGGTAGGTGGTGGTGGTGATGATGTTGTGGTGGTGGTGGTGGTGGTGATGTTGTGGTAGGTGGTGGTGGTGATGTTGTGGTAGGTGGTGGTGGTGATGTTGTGGTAGGTGGTGGTGGTGATGTTGTGGTAGGTGGTGGTGATGTTGTGGTAGGTGGTGGTGGTGGTGATGTTGTGGTAGGTGGTGGTGATGTGGTAGGTGGTGGTGGTGGTGATGTTGTGGTAGGTGGTGGTGGTGGTGATGTTGTGGTAGGTGGTGGTGATGGTGATGTTGTGGTAGGTGGTGGTGATGGTGATGTTGTGGTAGGTGGTGGTGATGTGGTAGGTGGTGGTGGTGATGTTGTGGTAGGTGGTGGTGGTGATGTTGTGGTAGGTGGTGGTGGTGATGATGTTGTGGTGGTGGTGGTGGTGGTGATGTGGTAGGTGGTGGTGGTGGTGATGTTGTGGTAGGTGGTGGTGATGTGGTAGGTGGTGGTGGTGGTGATGTTGTGGTAGGTGGTGGTGGTGGTGATGTTGTGGTAGGTGGTGGTGGTGGTGATGTTGTGGTAGGTGGTGGTGGTGGTGATGTTGTGGTAGGTGGTGGTGGTGGTGATGTTGTGGTAGGTGGTGGTGGTGATGTTGTGGTAGGTGGTGGTGGTGATGTTGTGGTAGGTGGTGGTGGTGGTGGTGTTGTGGTAGGTGGTGGTGTTGTGGTAGGTGGTGGTGTTGTGGTAGGTGGTGGTGTTGTGGTAGGTGGTGGTGTTGTGGTAGGTGGTGTTGTGGTAGGTGGTGGTGTTGTGGTAGGTGGTGGTGGTGGTGGTGTTGTGGTAGGTGGTGGTGGTGGTGATGTTGTGGTGGTGGTGGTGGTGATGTGGTAGGTGGTGGTGGTGGTGATGTTGTGGTAGGTGGTGGTGGTGGTGATGTTGTGGTAGGTGGTGGTGGTGATGTTGTGGTAGGTGGTGGTGGTGGTGATGTTGTGGTAGTGGTAGGTGGTGGTGGTGATGTTGTGGTAGGTGGTGGTGGTGGTGATGTTGTGGTAGGTGGTGGTGGTGATGTTGTGGTAGGTGGTGGTGGTGATGTTGTGGTAGGTGGTGGTGGTGATGTTGTGGTAGGTGGTGGTGGTGGTGATGTGGTAGGTGGTGGTGGTGGTGATGTTGTGGTAGGTGGTGGTGGTGATGATGTGGTAGGTGGTGGTGGTGGTGATGTGGTAGGTGGTGGTGGTGGTGATGTTGTGGTAGGTGGTGGTGGTGATGTTGTGGTAGGTGGTGGTGGTGGTGATGTGGTAGGTGTTGGTGGTGGTGATGTTGTGGTAGGTGATGGTGGTGGTGATGTTGTGGTAGGTGGTGATGGTGATGGTGATGTGGTAGGTGGTGGTGGTGATGTTGTGGTAGGTGGTGGTGGTGGTGATGTTGTGGTAGGTGGTGGTGATGGTGATGTTGTGGTAGGTGGTGGTGGTGGTGATGTTGTGGTAGGTGGTGGTGGTGATGTTGTGGTAGGTGGTGGTGTGGTGGTGATGTTGTGGTAGGTGGTGGTGGTGGTGATGTTGTGGTAGGTGGTGGTGGTGGTGATGTTGTGGTAGGTGGTGGTGGTGATGTTGTGGTAGGTGGTGGTGGTGGTGATGTGGTAGGTGGTGGTGGTGGTGATGTTGTGGTAGGTGGTGGTGGTGGTGATGTTGTGGTAGGTGGTGGTGGTGGTGATGTGGTAGGTGGTGGTGGTGGTGATGTTGTGGTAGGTGGTGGTGGTGATGTTGTGGTAGGTGGTGGTGGTGATGTTGTGGTAGGTGGTGGTGGTGGTGATGTGGTAGGTGGTGGTGGTGGTGATGTTGTGGTAGGTGGTGGTGGTGATGTTGTGGTAGGTGGTGGTGGTGGCTGTTGACACACCTGTCACCTTCCTCACCATCATTCACATCCACAATATTCACCCAACATTCTCCCTCACACACCGTCAACACATTCACTTCAACACTACATTACTCAATGTCAAACTGTATCACATTTGAGGCCTCCAGGTCTACTGTACCATCATCAACTGTGTCTCTAGTTGTAGAGACGACTAAGGTCGTGGTGTAGTGGTAAGACACTCGCCTGGCGTTCCTCCAGCGCTCTGTCATGGGTTCGTATCCTGGCCGGGGAGGATTTACTGGGCGCAAATCCTTAACTGTAGCCTCTGTTTAACTCAACAGTAAAATGTGTACTTGGTTGTTAAACGATTGTTTGCGGCGGGGGTCGTATTAGGGGACCATAGGAGTAAGGACCCGCCCGTAACACTACACGTACTAGTGGCTCTACAACAATGTAACAACTATTGGATATATAAATAAACAAAGTCACTGAATCTGGTGTATTGTAAGACATGTTAACCATTTACCGTAAGTGAGCTGAGCCATATTAATACTGTCATTGTGTGTAGGTTAGTGTGTGATGGCTCCCTCGCCGTGGTGTGTGGCGGCGAGCTACACACCCTCACGTTAACACATGCCTTCATTATAACTTGTATAATACCTCACGTATATATTCCATAACCTCACAATACACTACAAGTGTTGACAAAAGTGTTAATGGTAGAGATCCGGGTGCACTTGGCACCTATATACTGGAGCCCGTCCTCCACTGTACCTAGTACTTATAGTACCATGTGTACCATCCTACATATACTGGAGCCCGTCCTCCACTGTAGGTAGTACTTATAGTACCATGTGTACCATCCTACATATACTGGAGCCCGTCCTCCACTGTACCTAGTACTTATACTACCATGTGTACCATCCTACATATACTGGAGCCCGTCCTCCACTGTACCTAGTACTTATACTACCATGTGTACCATCCTACATATACTGGAGCCCGTCCTCCACTGTACCTAGTACTTATACTACCATGTGTACCATCCTACATATACTGGAGCCCGTCCTCCACTGTACCTAGTACTTATAGTACCATGTGTACCATCCTACATATACTGGAGCCCGTCCTCCACTGTACCTAGTACTTATAGTACCATGTGTACCAGCCTACATATACTCACATAATGCACAATTACAAACTACAATTTGGAACAACTGAATTTGGATAAACTGGAAAAGGTTCTGTATTTATGTTGCTAATAAAACCTAACTTAACTTAATCATCGTAGGCCTAACACACACTAACCTGAGGAGTAATATAGTAAATATATATGTGCTATACTAGGCTTACGATTATTTAAATTAGTTTTTAAATATTTTGTTCCTGACTCGATAGAGTGAATAGTACCAAATTCAATGATGTAAGTGTTGGTCACGTCAAGATGTGTACGCTGCTACACACACTTACAACAGTTACTGACTCAGCAGGAGTCAGTAAAGTCACTGAATCTGGTGTTTGTATTTAAGTCTTATTTATATTTTCATAAATTGTGTTTAGGAATTAGTAATAATAGATTTTTACATTATTTGTAAATATACATCTGGAAATTCAAGATAAGTTACACGTTTTTCATGTGTTTCTTGGATGCAAAACTGACAATTCAGCTTGCAACACCCCCCCCCCCCCATCCTTGCAAGATGTGTTCCACTGCAACAGGTGCCCCCCCCCCCTTCGTCCTTATAACACCACCTCCCACCCCCCACCGCCCTTACAACACGTGCCTCCCCATGCTTGCAACGCACCTTGCAGACCTCCTCTACCACCTGCTGGGTATTGTATTAACAAAAGCAGTGTAGGGGTGGAGACGGTGAAGTGTTTGAGGAGGCGCTAGGTGGTGCTCCTCCAGCCTGGCCCAGCCTCCACCTCCACCACATTACCCACCACGTTACCCCACGAGGACCACCCTCCTTCACTCTCTCACTACAACACACACACACACTCACTCAACAGGTGTACAGGTTCCTGAGCTAATAGGCTTAGGAACCTGTACACCTGTTGATTGACGGTTGAGAGGCGGGACCAAAGAGCCAGAGCTCAACCCCCGCAAGCACAACTAGGTGAACACGCACACAGACACGTACACACAGACGCGCGCGAGACACTTACCGGGAAGAAGTGTTGGGTGGCGTCCTTGTCCTTTCCTTTAGCCATGTTTGGTGGAGGTTGGTGCAGCTCCGGCCGCCTCTCACCCGGAGAACACTACCAGCTGCTGGTAGTGCTGCTGGTGGTGGTGGTCAACACCAACGCTACCATCCACCAGTGTACACCACTACACCAACCATACTCACACCCGCTACACCAGTCTCTACACCGCCGGGTTAACACCTCACACCCTCAACACTATACACTCCTCCCGCCTTCTTGGATCAAGTCTAATTCCAGTCCAAATTTGTCGCCAAGCTTTATGTTTAGGAGAGATGTGACAATATTTGTTACTTGATGTATGTGGCGGTGAGGGCGAGGCTTTCTTCACACACACGTAAGAGTGACTGGCGGCCACTCAGTCACCCCACACTTACCTTACCTCCAGGGTAAGGTAAGTCTGCCGTGACATGGATCAACACTTCTCAACTTTATAGGAAAACATCGCAAACTTTTTATCCTGAAGCGTCACAAGGCACCGACAGTGAGTAGGGAGGGGGAGGAGGGGAGGGAGGAGAGGGGGGAGGGGATTGGGGAGGGGGGAGGGGAGGGAGGGAGGGGATGGAGGAGGGGGGAGGGGAGGGAGGGGGAGGGGGTGGAGAGCAGTAATATTAGTTAGCTACACCCTAGTCCTCTCACAAGCACTCGTGATAGACTAATCCTCTTGCGTAACTCACTAATACCAGTCCATATCTGGCCTGTCTACACTGATACTGTCACACATACTGCAGAGGTGGGGGTGGGGGGAGTGACGGAAGGTGGGGGTGGGGGGAGTGACGGAAGGTGGGGGTGGGGGGAGTGACGGAAGGTGGGGGTGGGGGAAGTGACGGAAGGTGGGGGTGGGGGAAGTGACGGAAGGTGGGGGGTGGGGGGAGTGACGGAAGGTGGGGGTGGGGGAGTGACGGAAGGTGGGGGTGGGGGGGAGTGACGGAAGGTGGGGGAAGTGACAGAAGGTGGGGGGGGGGGGAGTGACGGAAGGTGGAGGTGGGGGAGGAGTGACGGAAGGTGGGGGTGGGGGGGGAGTGACGGGTGGGTGGGGGGTGACGGAAGGTGGGGGGGGGGGGAGTGACGGAAGGTGGGGGTGGGGGGAGTGACGGAAGGTGATGGGGTGGGGGGGGGAGTGACGGAAGGTGGGGGTGGGGGGAGTGACGGAAGGTGGGGGTGGGGGGAGTGACGGAAGGGGGGGGTGGGGGGGGAGTGACGGGTGGGTGGGGGGGGGGGAGTGACGGAAGGTGGGGGTGGGGGGAGTGACGGAAGGGAAGGTGGGGGGGGGGGGGGGGGAGTGACGGAAGGTGGGGGTGGGGACGTGACGGAAGGTGGGGGTGGGGGGAGTGACGGAAGGTGGGGGTGGGGGGAGTGACGGAAGGTGGGGGTGGGGGGAGTGACGGAAGGTGGGGGTGGGGGGGAGTGACGGAAGGTGGGGGTGGGGGGGAGTGACGGAAGGTGGGGGTGGGGGGGAGTGACGGAAGGTGGGGGTGGGGGGAGTGACGGAAGGTGGGGGTGGGGGGGAGTGACGGAAGGTGGGGGTGGGGGGAGTGACGGAAGGTGGGGGGGGGGGAGTGACGGAAGGTGGGGGGTGGGGGGAGTGACGGAAGGTGGGGGTGGGGGGAGTGACGGAAGGTGGGGGTGGGGGAGTGACGGAAGGTGGGGGTGGGGGGAGTGACGGAAGGTGGGGGGGGGTGGGGGGGGTGGGTGGGGACGGAAGGTGGGGGTGGGGGGAGTGACGGAAGGTGGGGGTGGGGGGGGGGGAGTGACGGAAGGTGGGGGGGGGGGGAGTGACGGAAGGTGGGGGTGGGGGGAGTGACGGAAGGTGGGGGTGGGGGGAGTGACGGAAGGTGGGGGGGGGGGAGTGACGGAAGGTGGGGGTGGGGGGGAGTGACGGAAGGTGGGGGTGTGGGGGGGAGTGACGGAAGGTGGGGGTGGGGGGGAAGGTGGGGGTGGGGGAGTGACGGAAGGTGGGGGTGGGGGGGAGTGACGGAAGGTGGGGGTGGGGGGAGTGACGGAAGGTGGGGGTGGGGGGAGTGACGGAAGGTGGGGGTGGGGGGAGTGACGGAAGGTGGGGGTGGGGGGAGTGACGGAAGGTGGGGGTGGGGGGGAGTGACGGAAGGTGGGGGTGGGGGGGAGTGACGGAAGGTGGGGGTGGGGGGGGAGTGACGGAAGGTGGGGGTGGGGGGAGTGACGGAAGGTGGGGGGGGGGGGAGTGACGGAAGGTGGGGGTGGGGGGGAGTGACGGAAGGTGGGGGTGGGGGAGTGACGGAAGGTGGGGGTGGGGGAGTGACGGAAGGTGGGGGTGGGGGAGTGACGGAAGGTGGGGGGGGTGGGGGAGTGACGGAAGGTGGGGGTGGGGGGGAGTGACGGAAGGTGGGGGTGGGGGAGTGACGGAAGGTGGGGGGGGGGGAGTGACGGAAGGTGGGGGGTGGGGGAGTGACGGAAGGTGGGGGTGGGGGGGAGTGACGGAAGGTGGGGGTGGGGGAGTGACGGAAGGTGGGGGTGGGGGAGTGACGGAAGGTGGGGGTGGGGGAGTGACGGAAGTGTGGGGGGTGGGGGGGAGTGACGGAATGTGGGGGTGGGGGGGAGTGACGGAAGGTGGGGGTGGGGGGGGGGGAGTGACGGAAGGTGGGGGTGGGGGGGAGTGACGGAAGGTGGGGGTGGGGGGAGTGACGGAAGGTGGGGGTGGGGGGGAGTGACGGAAGGTGGGGGTGGGGGGAGTGACGGAAGGTAGGGGTGGGGGGAGTGACGGAAGGTGGGGGTGGGGGGGAGAGTGACGGAAGGTGGGGGTGGGGGAAGAGACAGAAGACGAGGGTGGGGGAAGAGACAGAAGGTGGGGGTGGGGGAAGAGACAGAAGGTGAGGGTGGGGGAAGAGACAGAAGGCGAGGGTGGGGGTGGGGGAAGAGACAGAAGGCGAGGGGGGGGGAAGAGACAGAAGGCGAGGGTGAGGGAAGAGACAGAAGGCGAGGGTGGGGGGGTGGTGGAAGAGACAGAAGGCGAGGGTGGGGGGGGGGGGGAAGAGACAGAAGGCGAGGGTGGGGGTGGGGGAAGAGACAGAAGGCGAGGGTGGGGGTGGGGGAAGAGACAGAAGGCGAGGGTGGGGTGGGGGGAAGAGACAGAAGGCGAGGGTGGGGGTGGTGGAAGAGACAGAAGGCGAGGGTGGGGGGTGGGGGAAGAGACAGAAGGCGAGGGTGGGGGTGGGGGGAAGAGACAGAAGGTGGGGGTGGGGGAAGAGACAGAAGGCGAGGGTGGGGGTGGTGGAAGAGACAGAAGGCGAGGGTGGGGGTGGGGGAAGAGACAGAAGGCGAGGGTGGGGGTGGGGGAAGAGACAGAAGGCGAGGGTGGGGGTGGGGGAAGAGACAGAAGGCGAGGGTGGGGGTGGGGGGGAGGGAAGAGACAGAAGGCGAGGGTGGGGGTGGGGGAAGAGACAGAAGGCGAGGGTGGGGGTGGTGGAAGAGACAGAAGGCGAGGGTGGGGGTGGGGGAAGAGACAGAAGGCGAGGGTGGGGGTGGTGGGGGAAGAGACAGAAGGCGAGGGTGGGGGTGAGGGAAGAGACAGAAGGCGAGGATGGGGGTGAGGGAAGAGACAGAAGGTGGGGGGGGGGGGAAGAGACAGAAGGCGAGGGTGGGGGTGGGGGGGGAAGAGACAGAAGGCGAGGGTGGGGGTGAGGGAAGAGACAGAAGGCGAGGGTGGGGGTGGGGGAAAGACAGAAGGCGAGGGTGGGGGTGGGGGAAGAGACAGAAGGCGAGGGTGGGGGTGAGGGAAGAGACAGAAGGCGAGGGTGGGGGTGGGGGAGGAGACAGAAGGCGAGGGTGGGGGTGAGGGGAAGAGACAGAAGGCGAGGGTGGGGGTGAGGGAAGAGACAGAAGGCGAGGGTGGGGGTGGGGGAAGAGACAGAAGGCGAGGGTGGGGGTGAGGGAAGAGACAGAAGGCGAGGGTGGGGGTGGGGGAAGAGACAGAAGGCGAGGGTGGGGGTGGGGGAAGAGACAGAAGGCGAGGGTGGGGGTGGGGGAAGAGACAGAAGGCGAGGGTGGGGGGGGGGGGAAGAGACAGAAGGCGAGGGTGGGGGTGGGGGAAGAGACAGAAGGCGAGGGTGGGGGTGGGGGAAGAGACAGAAGGCGAGGGTGAGGGGAAGAGACAGAAGGCGAGGGTGGGGGTGAGGGAAGAGACAGAAGGCGAGGGGGGGGGGGAAGAGACAGAAGGCGAGGGTGAGGGAAGAGACAGAAGGCGAGGGTGAGGGTGAGGGAAGAGACAGAAGGCGAGGGTGGGGGTGGGGAAGAGACAGAAGGCGAGGGTGGGGGTGAGGGGAAGAGACAGAAGGCGAGGGTGGGGGTAAGGGAAGAGACAGAAGGCGAGGGTGGGGGTGGGGGAAGAGACAGAAGGCGAGGGTGGGGGTGGGGGAAGAGACAGAAGGCGAGGGTGGGGGTGGGGGAAGAGACAGAAGGCGAGGGTGGGGGTGGGGGAAGAGACAGAAGGCGAGGGTGGGGGAAGAGGACAGAAGGCGAGGGTGGGGGTGGGGGAAGAGACAGAAGGCGAGGGTGGGGGAAGAGACAGAAGGCGAGGGGGTGAGGGAAGAGACAGAAGGCGAGGGTGGGGGTGGGGGAAGAGACAGAAGGCGAGGGTGTGGGCGATGGAGGGAAGAGACAGAAGGCGAGGGTGGGGGTGGGGGAAGAGACAGAAGGCGAGGGTGGGTGTGGGGGAAGAGACAGAAGGCGAGGGTGGGGGTGAGGGAAGAGACAGAAGGCGAGGGTGGGGGTGGGGGAAGAGACAGAAGGCGAGGGTGAGGGAAGAGACAGAAGGCGAGGGTGGGGATGAGGGAAGAGACAGAAGGCGAGGATGGGGGTGGGGGAAGAGACAGAAGGCGAGGGTGGGGGTGGGGGAAGAGACAGAAGGCGAGGGTGGGGGTGAGGGAAGAGACAGAAGGTGGGGGTGGGGGAAGAGACAGAAGGCGAGGGTGAGGGAAAGAGACAGAAGGCGAGGGTGGGGGTGAGGGAAGAGACAGAAGGCGAGGGTGGGGGTGGGGGGGAAGAGACAGAAGGCGAGGGTGGGGGTGGGGGAAGAGACAGAAGGCGAGGGTGGGGGTGGGGGAAGAGACAGAAGGCGAGGGTGGGGGTGGGGGAAGAGACAGAAGGCGAGGGTGGGGGGGGGGGGGAAGAGACAGAAGGCGAGGGTGGGGGTGGTGGAAGAGACAGAAGGCGAGGGTGGGGTGTGGGGGAAGAGACAGAAGGCGAGGGTGGGGGTGAGGGAAGAGACAGAAGGCGAGGGTGGG